AGACGGCCTGCGAGCCCCCAAAAGGCTTCGGAGGTCCCCCCAAGAGGCCACAGCGGGTTCCCAAAGGGAGAACCCTGGACTCCAATAGTACCACGCTTCACTGCACGGACCTTGCAGACATGCTGCAGCGGATTTTTGCGTGGATGCTTGTCGAGACCCCGAAGCGGCGGGCGAACAGCGAAGCGAATTTCACGTGGATTCCTTTCAGTCTTCGCTCCTTGCCTAAAAAAGTCCGCGCGAAATGGACTTCGCAATCCTGAACGAGATTCTCCAGGACACTCCGGGCCCATCCTATTTGAAGGGGCCCCAGGACACACAAATAAATACACACAAATAAAAATGTTCCCCACATTTTCCCATATTTTCTGGGTTTCTGTCTTCCCCCCACTTCCCATAGTTTCCCATATTTTCCTGAGGGTCGACGATTAATTGTGTCTGTGTGTTTTTTCCCCTCCTGAAGTATGCGGCCCATCCCACCGCCACTGGTAGAACCCAAGTCAAAACGCGCGTCGCGCCAATCTCGTTTGGCAGAATGTTGAGGGTGTGGGCGCGGGATCCTGAATCAAACGCGCTGGACAATTGAGGAACGCCGTGTCACCCCTGGGCCAAAACATACATTTTTCTCCGGTGCAAAAACTGCAAATGGCACGTCGCGTGGCCCCCACCGAACAGAGCGCGGCGGCGTCCACGAGAGAGCTTTGGAGCTGCGGGTGTGTGCCGCCGAACTTTGTTCGTCTGCAGCGCTGGCGGACGCAAGCTGAGGCACGCACGTGCGGCTGGACAAAAAAGGAGGGCGGCCGCGGAAGCGGGAAGAGGAAGGACGCCCGACCGCAGAGAGCCTGCGGGGAGGCGAGCGCGCGGGCGGCCTCGGGCACCGAAGACCGGGGCACTTCCAAGAGAGCACCTTGGCGCAGTGTGCCAAGGTGAGGACAGCGCACCCAACGCGAGGCAAGGCGTCCACGAAAAGGGCCAGGGTCAGGTCGGGCGTGTCCTCCTACAGGCGGATTTTGGACGAAAAATGAAAACTGTTCAAAAATATTCAGACATAGAAATAATCAAAAGATCCTCCCCTCATCAATTTCTGAATGTTTTTGAATATGCCTCCTGTAGAGGGACATGCCCGACCTCAGGCCAAGGGCAAAAATGCCGCTGCGCCAGCCAGCACCACCCAAGAAGGAAGAGCCCAGGGACCGGCAGGCCGGAAGCGGCCGCAGGCCCTGCCAGGGGGCCTCCAGAGCCAAGCGAGGGGGGGGGGGGGGCGCCACGCGGAGCCGCACACAGGCCCAGGCTCGGCAGGAGGCAGCGAGGCGGCCGGGGCGGGCGCAAGACCAGGCCCAGGCCTGCTGCCGAGCACCGCGCCGCTGCGTGTAGGGCGGCTGACGCCCAAGGGCCCGAGCGTCGCAGGCAGCCGCCATGGCGGCCGGAGGGGGGGGGGGGCGAGAAGGGGGGCGGGCAGAGCAGCCCGCACGCGAGGGTCCAGGAGCACCTGGTCGGTGCAGGGGCTAGCGCAGCAGCCCGCACGCAGCCAGCACGCGAGAGTCCAAGGGCAGGGGCGAGGGCCAGGATGTGCCCCCCCCGCGTGCCGCCGAACGCGCGGCGTCTGCATGGGCTATCTGCTGCTACTGGGTGGCGATCTGCACCCACGCAGTGGTGAGCGAGCCCGCTCGCTGCACATGCTTCCGCGGCCCCTGCCCCCCCCTATCCTCGCGGAGGTCCAGCACGCGGCCCAGCCTCCGCGCCTGGCGGCCCAGCTGCTCGTATCCCTCCGCCTCCATCGGGTTGGAGTGGTTAAAGATGACGTCCTTTCCGACCCCGCGCTGCATCGGCGAGAATGCGGAGTGGCCGATCAGCACGCGGACGCGCCGCTCGGGCCTGCCCTGCGCCACGCCCCGCGCGTGGATGCCTCGGGGCGTGAGGTCGGCGATGGCGTTGGGACTGCGCACCACGTCCTCGATGGTGGCCACCTCCCAGTACGCCTCGCGTCGAAGAAGCTCGGCGCAGTGGTCCTGGACGCGGCGGAGGAGGATAAAGACTCAGCAGGCCTGGCTAGACGACAGCACACAGGCAACACAGCTCAGTCTGGCGTGGCCCCGACTGTAAGTTCTCGTCGATCCCAAAACGAAAAAAAACAAGATGGGCATCAGGCGACCGTCCAATGTGATAACAACGTGCATACATGCTACATTCAAAGGGGGGCGTACTGTCACGGGCTACACCTTAGGCGATGCTTAAGAAAACCCAAGTTTTCGGCCAGAGTCTCGATGATTCTTAACGTTTCAGTGTAAATCCCAAGATTTTGATAGAAATTCTCGGCTTTTATTCAAATTCTGAGACTATGAATTTCTTAACCCATGATTTCTTAAGCATTTCGCAGGGTGTATGGCATTGCTTCGCTGTTCTTTGTCTTCAACATATTCGCTCTGCAGCCCTGCTGTCATTGTCATTGCGTTGCTATGATGTGCTATACTGTGCTGTGCAGTGCGTTGCATAGTATTGCTTGAAATGTCATCGCAGTCTGTGTCGTTGTGCTGCTGTGCGGTATTCCCAACCCGCTGGTGTCTGGGCACTCGGCTTGTGCAATCCAGGGGTGGCTCATCCTTCCTCCCGCCTCCTCACCTCCTCCCTCCTCTTTGCTGCCTATTGTGTCTTCTCGCTTGCTATTGCCTGCCTCATCGTTTCCTGTCTTTCGTCCCCATCGGGTGCTGCCAACTGCACAACTGTCGCGACTTTCGTGCTCTCATGGGAGTGCGGTCTTCCTCACATCAAGGAGTGACGTCCCACGTGGATACACACGGAATCTCGCGTTCCCTGGGCACCGCCGACTGCGCACGCCCGCACTCCGCTGGGCCTCCCAGGACGTCAAGGAATGACGTCCCACTGGGATGCACACGGAGTCTCGCGTTCCCTGGGCACCGCCGACTGCGCACGCCCGCACTCCGCTGGGCCTCTCAGGACGTCAAGGAAGCATCGACGCTCGCGCAGTTGGCTGCGCCCAGGAGGCGGGGGCCCGTTTGCGTCTGGGCCAGTGAAGGGGGGGCCCTGGAACACACAAATAAATAGACACACATCCCAGAATCCCTTATATTTGTTTTTCATATTTTCTGGATTTTATATCCCCCAATTCCAATATTCTCACATGTTTTCCTTGGGATCGGCGATTAATTGTGTCTGCGTGTTTATTCCCCCCCTGGAGCTCGTCACGAACGCGGCGAGCGTATGCGCAGGTGGCGCTGCCCAGGGAGTGCGAGGTACTCGTGAGGCTGGAATGATACCGCATTCGCTGGACCTCCTCCACCTCCTCCTCCTCCTCCTCCTCCTCCACCTCCTCCTCCTCCTCCTCCTCCTCCTCCTCCTCCTCCTCCTGCTGAGGGGGGCGCGAAAATGGCGACAGTTGCACAACTGGCAGCACCCAGGGAGCCGAGGTCCCGTCTGGATCTGGTAAGACCGCACTCGGCTGGACCTCCCAAGGGCTCACGGAAAGGGAAATGCTTGCACAACTGGCTGTGCCCAAAGAAACGAGGTCCGCGAAGATCTGGGTCCGGCAAGTTCGTGTCGCGACGACCCGCACGCTGGTTTCTAACACCGCGTGGACAGTTCAACCTTGAACGATCGTGGCTTGCCGATCGCGCAAGATCCTTCGATACCGTCGGATTACAGGCCACCGACAGCGCTTAAACTTGAAAGCCTCCACTGGCGTTGCCTTCGCGTCGTCACGACACGAACCTGCCGTCAGGCCGCAATCCGCTGGACCTCCCGAGGTGGCTCACGAACATGACGACAGCCAATGTGCAGCTGACAACACCCGGGGAAACGAGGTCCCATGTGTATCTGAGCATGATACCCGTTTGCTGGACCTCCCAGGAGCTCACGAAAGTGGCCCGATCTACCAGGGAGCTCCAGAAAATGATGAGAGTTGCGCAGCTGGCAAAATCCAGGGATGCGCGGCCCCATCTGGATCCGCGTAAGACACAACCCAGGCACGAAACTGGCGACCCTTGCGCAGCTAACAACACCTTAGGGAGGCCAGGTTCCATTTGGATATCTGCTGCGTAAGGCACCACTTTGCTGGACCTCCCAGGGGCTCACCCAATGTGTGAAAATTGTCGATCTGCTCCCCCCCTTCTCCCCTAGGACCTCACGATAGGGACGGCAGCTGGGAAAGTGGCAGCACGCAGGAGGCGAGGTCCATTTTCAGATTTGCGTGAGACACCACTCCGCTGGACCTCCCAGGGGGTCACGAACGTGGCGACATGTGCGTGCGCCGACGCCAGCGCCCAGGAAGGCGAGGCCCCATTCCGACCTGCGTAAGACGTAAGACACAACTCCGCTGGACCTCCCACGAGCTCACGAAACTGGCGACATTTGCGCAGCTGGCAGCACCCGGGGAGGCGAGGTCCCATTTGAATCTGCGTGAGACGCCAATTTGCTGGACCTCCCATGGGCTCACACAAGTGGCGACAATTGCGAGGTTGGCTAGCAGAGACGTGGTCATTCCTTACAGGTGTAGGAAGCACACCGGGTGCACGAACGGGGATAAGCAGAGGATAAAGAACACCGGAGAAGGAGGAACAGCCGTGCTCCACTCAAAACGAGGACCCAACCTGAGTTTGGGCTCGAACAAAGCTCAGGGCCACCGCGTTGTCGCTGTCGCCTGCATTTCAGCTCGCGCTTGGTGCACATACGTCGCCTTGGTCAAGCAGAGGGGAGGAGAACGAGGATATTCGATTGACGTTCGCGTTCGCACGTCATGCGGGAAAGTCACTGGTTGTCAGCAACACCCCCACGATTAAGATCCCAGAGAAAATACGATGGCATTGGCCGACAAGGACGACGAAGAGGAAGAGGAGAAGGAGAATAACGGCGACGATGACGAAGAGGAGGGCGAGGAGGTGCTGGACGAGGGGTATGACGACGGGATCCTTGACGAGAAGGAGGAGGGCATAGAGAACGATAAGGACGACGACGGGGACGAGGAGGACGAGGTCCTGGATGCAGTGAGTCACCATCTCCATGCTGCAGAATACCCAGTCGAATGGTGTCGCGTAGCGGCGCAGCCCAGCGTCCTCGACGAGATCGTCGTCGTCGTCGTCGTCGTCGCCGCTGTCGTCGTAATCCTCCTCCTCGTGATCCTCCCTCCTCCTCTCCTCTACTCTCTTCCTGCTTCGTCCCCCTCCTCCCTCCCCCCTATCATCTAGATTACCCAAATTCGCGTTTCGCGCTGCGCGATGCGCGATCATTCTCGCGCTCTTGCGCAGCCTTATAATAGAAAAACGCCTCTCTGTTCCAGACCGCGGGGTAGGAGTCGCGGCTATCACAGGGCGTGTGATCTTCAGAACCTGTTCTGTTTCCCATGAAAGGTTCGCTCACAGGCAGCGTGAATGTATAAGCCAACCCTCTTACAATTCAGCAAAAGATCCTTCCCCGGGGCAGTCGGTCAACACGGGCGTTTTTTCGATGACCCAAGTCGACACTTCCCGAGTACCCTCTGGCCTTGGGTGGGTAAATTGGAACATGGGACGGCTGGTCGATTCGGGTGCAGTCCCCGAGCGTGCGGCGTATCGCGACGGGATGCGACGGGGTGGGTGACCAAAATCCCCATGAATACTACCAGAAATTCCCGACGCATTCTGGGCAAATATACACGGGTCCGACAAAATATCAAAAATGCATGCGTCTAGACAACCCTCATTACCTGGAAATCTGGGCTCCAAAGGAGGAGTAACTTGATCCACCCAGTGAAGACATATGTGCGAACCCTTCCGTAGGGCCGCTGTCGAGAAACTACGCGACCCTTCCCCAAGCAACGTTTGCCAGACATGGGTTCAAGAGGAAGATCAAGTGGGTGAAAGCCGAACTCATGAAACTGGCGGCGACCCCCAGGGTGGGTCAATTCGTGGAAGAAGAAGAAGAAGAAGTGCGTCCGGAATAAAAGTATATGACAACCCGTGAGACACCAGCCCAACATGAGAAATAGTACCTTGATACCTAATATGTATCACGTTTCGGGTTACCACGAGGCGAAGTATATTGAAATAGTGCTACCCCGCGTTCGCTCCGAAAGCAACTGCGAGAGCCCGCCGTAGCCGATGATGACGACGACAGCGACGACAAAGAATGATCGCGCCGCCGCAAAATGCATACTAGAAAACCAATCGTTTCGTTTGTATTCTGGAGGTCGGCGCGGGGTCATACCGTGAAAGGGCATAGGGGTGACGCGTGTCACCCCGAAAACTGTGAAAGACAAACCAATCGTTGCACTTGCGTTCTGGGCGTTAGCATGGGGTCATGCAGTGTGAAAAAGTCACAAGGTTGACATGCCTCACCTCGAAAATTGCGTGAAAAAACACACTGTTTGATTTGTAGGTTGGGCATCCGCACGGGGTCATATCGTGTGAAAAAGGCACAAGGGTGACACGCCATTCCGAACACTGTCGGAGAAAAAACAATTGTGTCACTGGTGTTCTGGGCGTCATCATGGGACCATATAGTGTGAATAAGCACAGGGGTGACACATGTCACCTAGAAAACTGCGTGAGAAAAACTAAGTGTTTAACTTGTGTTTGGGGCGTCAACATTGGGTCATCCATTGCGACAAAGAAAACGGGTGACACCTGTCACCCCGAACATTGAATGAGGCAAGTCAAGTCACATGTACCATTTCCATTATGGACGTAAGTAAGCCTGGGGTCGCGCAGCGTGACGAAGCACAGGGATGGCACGTGCCACCTCGACGACTGCATCAGGGGAAGCCAGCTGGCGGCTACATTGGGACCGCACAGCGTGGAAAGGCACAGGGGTGCCACGCGTCACTATGGCAGCTGCGTGAAAAAAACTGCCGGTTTCAGTGCGTTTTGGGCGCTCCCGCCCGTAGCCCGACAGGCGCCTGCACCTGTTTCGGCTCGCTTGCGCCCGCTGGCTCGAACATTTTCTGGGCGCTGCTCGTGCGCCCACCGGCCTTTCCTCTTGAGCCAGGCGGCGTTCGAGCCGCCCCCCCCCTTGGGCGCGAATCAGTGGGCAGGCAAGACATAGGGAGGGCAGCGAAGGCTGCCGAAAAAGGGCCCTCTCGGGCCCCTAAAGGGGCCCTGTCGGGCCCAAAGAGGAAGCCTTTCGGGTCCGAAAATCGAAGTGTTCTCCCCCCATGAACTCGCGCCCGACCCCCTTGGTGGACTTCGGGGCTGGTCGCCCTTGGGCCCCCCAGAAGCCCCCACGGCCTTCCGCGGCCCTGCCCGCCCCAGGAATACACTCTGCCCCCTCTCGCGGGCCTCGAGCGGCGGCGTCGGCCGCCTGCCTGCATGGCCGCACCTGGCATTTCGAGCACGTACACAGCGAAGCTGCGCGTCGCAACAAGCCCCCCCCTTCCTCTTACCCTCGCTCGGACGTCCAGTCCCTGTGCATGTCTCGGCTTCGTGCGCGCTCATTGTGCCAGACGATCCAGGATGCTCCTCGATGGTCCTCGCCGAGAAAATTATGCTACCGAGGAGCCCTACATACTTATACTATGCCTCGAGTGATGATAGCTGCTACTACTACTACTACTACTACTACTACTACTACTCCTACTCCTACTCCTACTCCTACTCCTACTACTACTAGTACTACTACTACTACTACTACTACTACTACTACTACTACTACTACTACTACTACTACTACTATACTACTACTACTACTACTACTACTACTACTACTACTACTACTACTACTACTACTACTACTACTACTACTACTACTACTACTACTATCTACTACTACTATTACTACTACTACTACTACTATTACTACTACTACTACTACTACTACTACTACTACTACTACTACTGCTGCTGCTGCTACTATCTACTACTACTAATAATAATAATACTAGTCTTTACTATGATGTACTACTATTGACGACGACGACTACTACTACTACTACTACTATTACTACTACTATTACTATTACTACTACTACTACTACTACTACTACTACTACTACTACTACGACTACTACTGCGACTAATACTACTACTACTACTACTGTTGCTGCTGCTGCTACTACTAGTATTACTACCACTACTCGTACTACCACCACTACTACTACTACTACTACTACTACTATTACTACTACTACTACTACTCCTACTACTACTACTACTGCTATCTACTACTACTACTACTACGACTACTACTACGACTACTATTACTAATACTACTACTAGTACGAATACCACTAAGACTAATACAACCACAACTACTACTACTATTACTACTACTACTACTACTACTACTACTCGTACTACTACTACTACTACTACTACTACTACTACTATTACTACT